CTGGTGGCCCCCATCCCCGACTTCACGGGACTTGCGCTGGACCAGAAGCACGCGAGGTCGACCCTTGTGTGTGTATATATATATATATACACACTAGAACCACGCGCGCGCTTCGCGCGCGCTTAGGTTCTAGCTAGGAGGCGAGCTTGAGTCAACGAAAGTCGCAGGGAAGGGGGCAGGGGGGAAAAGGCCAGAGAGCGCTGAAGGATACAAATACTGGAACCCTCTAAGACTCTTGTGATTTTGTGGGGGGCCTCGTCCGGCCGCTCGCTGGGAGTTTGACGTAGCTTCTCGGGAGCCTCTGAACCTGTCGGGGGCCTCCTGGAAGCAGGTTCGAAGAATTTGGGGGCCGATTTGGGGCTTCTCGGGGCCTCCTTTGGGCCTCTTGGGGGTCTCCTGGGGCCTCTTGAGGGGCCTCCTTGGGGCCTCCTGGCGGCCTCTTGGGGCGGAAGGCTCGAGCTTGCGGTTCGTGGTCCCCCTCTGGGCCCCCTCTTGGGCCCGTCTTGGGGCCCTCTTGGGCCATCTTGGGCGCCTCTTGGGCCGTCTTGGGGCCCTCTTGGGCTGTCCTGGGGCCCTCTTGGAAGCTTCTTGGGCCGTCTTGGGGCGGTCTTGGGCGCCTCTTGGGCCGTCTTGGACGCGGTGAAAGCCCAAGAGGCGAACATGCGAAAAATATACGTTTTCCCATAGGAATGGCACGATTTTTGCTTCTTGGGCCTCTCTTGGGCTGCCTCTCGGAGCGTCTTGGAGGCTTCTGGGACCTTCTTGGTGTCATGACAGGCGTCTTGGAAGGCATCTGGAGCCATCGGAGCGCGTTCCGAAGCCGCCTGCGAACGATCTTGGACGGCGTCCGGCGGTCCGACGAGCCTCCGGGCCCCCCGGGGCCCACATTTGTGGTCGGGGTCCCGGCCCCGGGCCCCCGGACCCGGTGCGCCGTTATATGTTATATATGTATATCTGTATGCAGTGGGGGGGGGCGCCCATCCTCGATGAGGGTAGCGCTATCGGCACCTCTTCCCCTCTGGTATCCGTTCCGTGGGAACCGAATTACGTAGCCCCTGGCACTGTCCGATGAACGGAGTTGGAACGCATGTGGGACCAGACTTGGACTGGGTTTGGACCGAGGAGACGAAAAGAACAAGGAGGGGAATGGCGAGGAAGAGCAAGAGAAGGTCCAGATGGGGTCCAAATGCGGTTCACGTGCAGGCAATGCTGACCTCAGTGTCGCCACCCAAGGCTCCCATGAAGAGACATCGAATTCCTCCTCCTCCTCCTCGCACAGCAGAGCTCCCCTCCTCCTCCTCCTCCTCCTCCTCCTCCTCCTCCTCATCATCATCATCATCATCATCGTCGCGCAGCCTCCTCCTCCTCCTCCTCCTCCTCCTCCTCCTCCTCCGCCTTGACAAGACATCGAATTTCTCCTCTTGCGCCTCGCGCGCAGCAAAGCCCCCGCCGCCGGTCGCGCCTGCTGCACGGCTGGTCCGCGGCGGCTGGCGCAGGCCGGCTGCCGCAGAGCGGCTGCTGCGGCGGCGCGCCGCGGGGCGCGGGCGGCAGCTCGGCCCTGGCCTCGGCTGGGGGACAGCGTCGACAAGAAGTGCGGCGCAACATTGGCAGAGGAGAAAACGGCATCAGCATAAACTGTTGGTGCTTCGCGCAGATTTCTTGGATCTGCGCTGGACCCCCCTCCCTGGCGCGCGGAGCACGCGCGCCAGGGGCGGCGCCGGAGGCGCCGCCGGGGGGGGGCCCAGCGCGGATCCAAGACATCCGCTCGCAGCGCCAACAATTTATGGTCATGCCGTTCCTTATTCGGGACATGACAACATGACATACCAATGTCCCGTGCCTCTGTTGGAGACGCACGCAGGACCCGAATATGTAGCACACATTCTCGCAGTACATCGTTGCCCGAGCGGTATGAGCAGAGAGCGCCAGCCGCGGAGCTTATACTGTAAGATGTCCGAGCGTGCGCATCGCCCTTGCGTGGCCGACGCACATCTCGTATGAGTATGCTTGGGCGGTGCCGGAGGAGGAGTTCGGAGGCAACTTACGAGAGGTACTCGTAAGAACCATCTAAGGCTATCCAGAACCCGATCGCCCAGATCTGCCTCGGTATGGTTTTGACAGGTCGGCCATTTCCCTGCGATGTCGGCCTCCGGGACCCATGCGTCGGCCCCGGGGCCATGAAAGACGGATCTGAGCGACAAACTGGCCCCAGGGAAGGGGTCGGGAATTCTGGGGCCGCGGATTGAGCAGATCTGATCGTCGGATGTCGGGACCGTGGAAGCTATTCGAAGGCAATCTGCAAGACGCAGCCAGGACCAAGACTGGCCATCGCTTGAACGTCCATTCACAGTATACTTTTCGGCGTCGCGGGTGTATTTTTCGCACGATGATCCAAGATGTTCCTCGATGGTCCTCGCCGAGAAAACAAACGCACACATCTGAGCGATGCCAAGAGGACAAGACCGGCGGCGTCAACGAGGAGGGCCCGGGTGCGCCGAGCAGGGGGGGGCCACGAAGAGGGGGCCCGGACATGCTCGCGTCGTACAATAGACGCGACGAGATTTGCTGACCGCTTTCGGCCTCCGGGGGGGCCGCGCCCGTTCCCGGGGCCGTCGACGAGATGAAAAACTGGCCTCGGGGAGAAGCTCAGAGTACCTACCAGACCACCCCTACCCAACCCGAAGACCCAAATTTCGGGTGGAGGGGGGGTGTGTACGGGTTCCAGATGTGGTTTTTCCAATGCTCCCGACGCCCCCCCCGCTGAAAATGGGGGCCAAAATTGGAGCCTTCGGGTTATGGGTGGCTTGGTGGATTGTGAGGGTTGGGGTTTCCGGGGGCCCGTATTGACAAAATCAAGGCGCCGAAAGTCAGGGATCTGGACGGGGCTTTCAGGGTGCAAGCCCCTCGGAGCGGCGCGAAAGCCAGGCACCGGCGCGCCCGCAAGGGCACCCCTGGGCAAAGGGAGGCCGAAAACGGGTCCAAGTACGCAACGTGTCCTCGCGACAGGGACACATCAAGAACACTGGTTCTGACTGTAGCGCATCATGTCCTGAGGCATGCGCGCGGACGAAGGGGTGCCGAAGGGCGCACTGAAACAAGAAGAGAAGGGCTATGAAACCGGAGAGATTTCATGAGAGCGGCCATGACATCCACACCCTCGCCCCCATAACCAATTTTCACCTCCCGTCTTGGGCGCCACCAGAGGACGGCCAGGGCGACGGCGACGAATTGCCTTGAGATTCTGAACACCGCACTCTAACTTCGGGTCACAAAGACCTCACGGATGGATCCCGCCCGAACCACGCCACAATCGAAGGCCCCAGTCGTGATCTTTCACGACGACGAAAAGGACGAAGGTGGCGAGGACGACAACGACAAGTAGGACGACGAGGGTTCGAGCCTCGAATTTCGATCGATCCTCGCGCCCCCCTTTCCTCGCCGAGGTTCTCCCCGCCCAGCCAGGGCAACCCTGACCGCGACGCGGTCGTAGGCGAAGACGCCCCAACCGCATCGCGCGCTTGCCGATGTCCATCTCGTCATCGTTCTTGGTGCCGTGACAGGGCCCGGAATCGTCAGAAAACGACTCGTGATGAGAAGCGGCCCCAGTGAAGTCGCAGGTCTTAGGACGACGACGACCAAGGAATCCGCGCAGAACTCTGGCAATTCATGTTCATGCCGCTTTTGTGATTCGACCTCATTGGTGCTCTTCCTCTGGTGATTCAACCCCATTCGTTTTCCTCCTCCTCTTCCTCTTCCTCCTCCTCAAGGTTGTTCCTTTTCTTCATTGTCTTCATCACCCAGGGGGCGCTGTGCAACCACGGGGCTACTGCAACCAAGAGACGACCACGACACAAATGCCGCGCGCGCCAGCACGGCGCGCCTCATCATGCCCAGAGTAAGACACACACGGCTTGTTTCGCGAGACTGAACGCAGCAATGAGCACCCATTTCTTTTTAGGTTGCAGTGTTTTTTGTATTTTCTGAAGCCACCACTAGTCGTTTACCCCGCGTGGTACCCAAACTGTGCGCTACTGCACCGCGGAGGTGAAGGCTGTGCGGTGCAAGCTGTGTGGTGAAAGCTGTCGTGTAAGCAACGCGGGGCGAGCTGTCGAGGTGAAACCTATGCGGTTTTAGCTATGTGGTGTATGCTCACTTTATGTGGTTCAAGTTATGGTGTGCAAGCTATGCGGTGCAAACTATGTTGGGTAGGCTTCGTGGTGCAAACTACGTGGTGTGGGCTATGTCGTGTAAGCTCAAAACACGGGGCGCCCACTGGGTGCACACCGCATACTTCTCAAACAAGGGGCGCCCACGAGGCGACACGGGCGGCAACGTGGCGAAAACTCTGAACACCAATCACTCTCGTAAGAAAGGCCAAAGAAGAACCCCTAAGTGCACGCACTGCTTGGCGAACAATTGTTTTGCTTCGATCGATCCCCAAACAAGAACGCGAGGCGGAATATCCAGGGAGCACCTGCACACTCTGGGACTAGCGGCCGCGGTATGCAAGCGTCATTCGTCCGATGCACGAGGCGGTATACCCGGGGAGAACCAGAACACTTTGGGCCTGGCGGCTGCTGTATGCAGGGTGTGTGAGGTTGGTCGGGAGCTCATTTCTGTCAATCTAACAACCTCAACCTGTCGGTTGCATGGGGACAAACGCATGACATTCCTTTCCAATCACTCTGGGGATGCCCCCGAAATGCAAAAGAAATTCGACCACTGCAAGCATCGGACAAATTCTCTCACTAAAGCCCGTTGTTACATCATACGGTTCCAGTCCCGGCTCTCTTTGGACTCCATGGCTCGGCAGACTGGTGGCGACGCTGTCTCTCCGGCTGCAAGGGGGGTCCTTGGCAATGCCTGGCAACAGTCCGGAGCAGACGATGACGACTTCAACAACGACTATTTCCACGCACATGGGATTTGTATGATAAAGAGCTCGCTCTTGGAGAGTCGACCCTTGCTCACTTTGTCACGTCGCCCGCATGCGGTCATCGTCAAGACCTTGCCCATGCGGAATTCTCCTGCTGCATCTGCAAGCAACGTCTCCCTTCGATTTCTACCCAGTATTGGCTAGCCACCCCCGTTTGATTGCTATAGAGCTCCTGCTCAATAGAGGTGATAACGCGTGCTCGCTCCAATCGCCACTGCTGCTCGGCCCTTTCCGAAACTTTGTTGTACGTGTCGTTCATCATAGCTATAAGCATGTTAATCAAAAGAATGGGGACAAGCACAGCGTACGTGACAACGAGCGCGTCGAAGAACGGGTCGACGTCTGCGTCCTCCGGGAAACATAAAAGTGCACACGAACGAAACTGGGTCTTCGCCCAAAACATAGTGAGCATAGTCTGTTCAACGTCTCACACTCGTTAACCTACCCTGAAGGATGTGCACTATACTGCGCGTGGTGGTGGTTGCGGACATACTTTTATGGTCATGTTCCTGTCCCCGATCCTTTTCGAAACCATTTGTCATCATATGGAAACAAACAAACACGTGCCGCACAAATGTACTCGGCCCCCTCTGCGATGGAGAAGTAGTGGTGATGAAGAACGCGAGACTGAACCCAACCACAAATATGGACGTGAGCTGAGTAAATTTCACCAAATCGTCGGTCACGATCTTCCATATTGACACAACAAGGTGACCAGTGCTGCTGAATCCCAGGAGGAACCAGAGGAGGTAAAACCACGACAGCAGTGCGGACGTCGCCAAGACTGGAGTTGACAGCGTCGACTCGCACAGCTGCAAGAGCTGTGCAACCAAAAACGTGAGCACGAAACTGAAACTTGCAACATTCTCAAATAACCCGCCACCGTGTCCTCGGCACGCTGAGGTCTGTGAGAGGCCCCCAAGGGGGCACCGAAGAGGCCCAAGAGCACCCCAAGATGACCCCCGAGAGTACCCCCAAGAGGCCAAAAAATCGTCGTCGTCGTCGTCGTTCTCTTTCGGGGTCGGCGGCACCGGCCGTAAGGCCTGTGCAATGGCCCGCCACCGTTCTCTCGGCACAGTGAGGCCTGTTGGAACGCGCCGGGTAAGGTTCTGGTCGCTTCTTCCAGCCTCCCCACACACTCACTGGAGGGGTCTCACGGTTCGTTGCCATCCCCCCCATCCCACCTCCAAGAACAGAAAGCCAAGGTCGCCCTACGTGAACTCGAAGACGGCCTCGAGGACAGACCATGCAGCCCCCGAACCAGCTTGCAAATAACCGAAGCCCAAGCCATGAACAACGTTAGGGCATATAGCGTTTCGCTTCCAAGGCGATTCAAAGCAAATGATTCAAAACGGCCCACCCAGACCCAAAGACGGCTCACCGACTGCCCCAACAGCGTTTCAATCTGGCCACGCGTCCTGACAAGAGGGTGCCCGAATTTCTCAACCGAGCCTCTTCGGGAGAGCTCGGTGAAAACCACCGTGCCCAAAACAGAGGCAGAACTTCCAACATGCCCACCAGAAAGCCTTCAACAGTCGCTAAAGAAGGCCACATGAGACCTCCGAAAGGCCTCAAGTACGCTGCAAAAGAGCTTCTATGCAATACGCCTTCAAGAGGCCAACCAACATCCATGCGACAATATGGCAGCACCTCGCTCCAACATATCGCTCAAAACCCAACCCGATGAGAGTTCATGAGAGCATGTCGGGAGCGGGCTGATTCTTCCGCAGGCAGCTGGATATCGCACCCTTGCCGAAATACCTATGGAAGCCTTCTGTGTAGAGCTCCCTGAGCTCTATAGACAACTTGTGGACCGCCAAACAAGACAAGGCGGCCCGACACACCCAATGCATCGCGAAACTCACAGCTCGTAGGGACGACGAATCAGCACTCTCAGGATCGAAAACGACCATCAGCGTGAACATCACGGACTGCAGCAGCGACCATTTGAAACGCCGAATGAATATATCCTGAACAAAAGCCTCCCACTTCTTTGCAAGCAACTCCTGGACGAGAGGCAACGATACCAAATCCAAATGGCCCTCCCGGACAATATGCTCGATCGCCCCAGACTCCTCGCCGGGGATGTAGTCGAGGCCGTCGAGGGGCAAAACTACACAAGTTACTGGCCCAAAGCTCCACTGAGTCTCACACATCGAATTGATCATGTGGTTGAAGATGTCGGCGAGCCCGTACTTTGCCGCCGCGCACAGAGGAGTGAGCCCTTCTTTGTTCGGTCGTCTGGTCAAGGGTTCTCGTGCGCTCGTTGTGTGGATCTCGCCCCACAAGCTCAGGATTGTGTCGTGCATTTCCGGCAGCATGTGCACAACTGCCCGTCGACCCATGTGAGGTCAATAGCGTGGGAGAAGTGCAAGCCTCCCATTGGGTCACATTATTCGTAGATCTTCGAGTGCGCTAGAATACCCCAGAGCTTCTGTGGGGGGCCCAGGGATACCCCAGAGCTTCTGTGGGGGGGCCCAGGGAAATAAGAACTTCTGTGGGGCACCCGCAAGCAAACCGATACACACACACATATATATATATATATATAGATTATCTACCGAGTCTGCTGTAGGAGGTCGAAGGATCACCAACCCCACCGCCTGGAGGGGAGGCGTGGGAAGGCAGGCGCGGTGGTGGTGGACACCCTCTTGGGCGCTTTTAAGGGGGGTCCTGTGCATCTGAACGCCACGAAGCAGCATGTCTGGCACCCCCCCAAGTTGCGGTGGTGGTGTTCTTCCTCCTCCCTGCGTAAAACTCCACGGCAATGCCAAAAGGGGGTCACCACTGAGGAAGCCGCCACCTCCTCCAAGAAACGGACTCCATGGACCAGCCAGAAACCGCCTGGACCCCGAAAGACGCTCAATGACGTCGATTGCCTCCTAGATCCTCAATCCTCCCTCCTACTCTTTCCTTAATGTCCAGGAAGGGGTGGTGACTTCCCGTGGTGGCTTCCCCTACTGCGCACTCAAGACGGGCCGGCGACGGCCCAAAAGGGGCGCCGAGAAAGACGCCGCCAGGACAATCCAAGAGTCCCATTGGAGGCCGCCAGGATAACCAGGTCTTCAAGACTGCTCAGGGGTCCTGAGAAGCACCATCAGGCGCACGGGAGCCCCAAGAGAAGCCCCGAGAGGGCCCAAGAGAGGCACCAGACGGCACAAAAACCGGTGAACATGTGCAGCTTTGGTTAATGCATAGAGTTTGCCACGATGCAGAGGGCAATCAACTGCCCCACAGACGAACTAAAAGAACCCAAAGAAGACCCAAAGACGGTCCTGACTTCCAAAACGGCCAAAAGAACGGAAACCCCAAGAACCAAGACAGGCCCATGCCAGCCAAGATCATTCACAGCCGTTCCCTCCAGCTCCCACTCCCCATCCCCCATTCCCCGTGTGCATACTCCAACCCTCTTCCTCATCCTCATCCTCCTGTTCCACTTCCTCGTCATCGTTATCTTCCTCCTCCTCCTTCTTCTCCTCTTCCACCATGTGAGCATTGTCGTGTCTCTCCATTTCCCCCACTCTGCTCTTCCTGATCTTCCCCCCCCGAAACAACAACTCAACAACAAAGACGCTCAACATCGAGACGGGGCGTCGACGGGCGCGGCGCATGCCTCGCGAATCAGGTGAAGGAGGTTATTACCGTTGGAGTCCACATCCTCGAGAGACGCTCCGTATGTCCTAACCTTACGTTGCGTCTGGATGATCACTCGGCCGACCACGCAACCCGATCTCGTGATCCGATCGCAACCCTGATCATGATGACTGCCGCGGCGCGCCGATCACGGATCCATCACGCACTGCAGCTCGAACGATCACGTGACTAAGCCGAACCGCTTACGTGATCGGCGATCACATGGTCCCCCGATCACTGCGATCTGTGACCGCCGATCGCGTGATCAACAGACACTGAGGTCCTGACCATCTCCCGCACCACCTGGCACATGTCCAGAGGACGAAAGCACGGCATAAACGTGATCTTCAGGAGGTATGCGCGAAATGCTTGGATCTGTGTCGGCCCCCCCTCCATGGCGCGCGGAGCGCGCCCCAGGGGCGGCGCCAGAGGCGCCGCCAGGAGGGGTCCAACACAGATCCAATAAATCCACGAGGACCTTTGAAGGTTCATGCTTCTGCCGATGTTTCTTCTTCGAATGTTTGTGCTCACAGCAAAACCCAGTGGCGTCTCGCCGTAGTAGCAAGGCTGCCCTCTCGCGAAGAACAAGCCCGTGGCCCTTGCGGACAGCAGCTTCCTGATAGAGCCATGTTTCTGGCTTGTCTCCAGAAGGAAGCGCAGGAAGTCAAGGCTGTGATGCACTATCGCAATGTGGACGCAATTCTCGCCCTTGTAGTTCTCCCCGGTGTACTGATCCAGAATGAGGTTGGGATAGCGCCCAGCCAATGCTCTTGCTACCTGGCCGACTGCAAAAACCCTGGGTACGAAAACGCCACACTTCCACAGGCAGTCGCCCTCGATTGACTTCCGCTGGCTTCTGCAGGCCCTCTGCAAGCTCCTGCCGAAGGCAAGGTGGCAACTCAGCGATTAATCGATTAAGAAGCCCCGAACTGAACAGTGCGTTCCGTTCTCGTTTTGTTTGCGATTTCCCTCGTTGTCGTTGTTCTGCCTTCGGTGCGAAACGATATCAAAACGAAAACGGTCCACGAAATCCGCAAAACACGGTTTAGCTCGAGCCCTGATGCCCCCTTTGAAACTCCCTGCGTGCCTCGAAGTGTCTGTACAGCACAAGCATGTGCAGTGGAGTTTCACCCTCGGGCCCGCGCTCGCACAGCACTTCCGGCCGCGCCCGCACCTCCCCGAATATGCCCTCGGCGTCACCCGTCCGCACCAGGCTCCAGAAGGGGTCCTCGTAGGCGAGCTTGGCTTGGGCAGCACAAGAAGCACTGCCTGGGCGCAACAAGCAGAAGCCCGAGGAGCCCCTCCCTCCACACCCAAACCCTTCAGAGCGACTTTGGGAAGCCTGGCCCGGCGCAGTACCCGCGGTCCGATGAAGGATCGCCGGTTTTCCAGGGTGGGGGGGAGGTTGAGAGTCGGGATCCGGCTGATGACCTGAGCGAGCACGCTCCCAACTGGCCAAGCTGCTGCTCCTGGCGCCGCTGGGTATGTCCGGCAAGCTCGCGGCACCCGACGCGAGCGAGGTGCGCTTTCGCTTCCGCGCGCTTTCCTCCATCTCATTCTTCGGCGACTCCTCCCGCTTCCGCACCTGCCCCTCCTGGGCAGTGAGCCCGCCAGCCCTGTGAACCTCCAGCAGGGCCCGGGCCGGGCCCACGGGGGCCACGTCGAGCGGCGTCTGCCCGTCTCTCGCCTGCACTCCTGGCGGAACCGAAACCCCTGCAGAAACAAGAACCTGTCGGAGGTCCGCGCGAACTTCTTGCGTCCGCCTTCGAGGCGCCAGGGCTGCCGCTGGAGGCGCCGCCAGGGGGAAGGGGGGGCCCGCGCCGACCCCAAACAAAAATCCGCGCGGGCCTCCGAAAACGAGATGCTGCTGCAGGGGCAAAGGTATGTGGGCACCGCTACTCCCTGGACCTCTCTGGGGGTGCGTCCTGACCAAGATTCCAAGGCGAACCCAGCCGCGGCGCTGAGGGCTCTCCAGGACGAGCATCAACATCTGCACCTTTCCCATCATGTGGACTCATGCCGTCCCTAGACATCCTCCGATCCTTCGATATGATTTGTTCAATCCGTCGCCGTAGCCCCAAACGTACCGACCGCCTTCCTGGGGGTAAACTTGCGTCCCGGATCCATAGCCCAGGGCCCGATACCGGGCCCCATGGGCCGACATCTGGGAAAACAGCTGGGATTGAAAAACACACATTGTCGGAGATCTGCTGTCTTTGCTTCTTCGAGCTCCGCAATCAGCACGCTTGGTCAGGAGAAGCCGGATCGCGCTGGTGTCCCCGGCGAACGCCGCCTGGTGGAGGGCGGACCACCGTCCGGACGGCTGGGCGTTGACGAGGCCAGGCTCCTCATCGAGGCGCCGCTTCACCTCGTCCCACTGCCGCTCCTTTGCCAAATCCAGGAATGCGTCGAGGAAGAAAACATTGCATAGGCATGAACTCTCGGAGCTCCGCGCGGACTTCGGATCGGCGCTGGACCCCTCCCTGCGGCTCGGAGAGCGCAAGGGGCAGCGCCGAAAGCCCCGCCAGGGGGTCCAGCGCCGATCCAAGAAATCTGCGCGGACCTCCGAGCATGATGTTTATTTGCTTGATTTGTTCCTCGGATGCGTGCTGCCGCTCAGCTGTGGACGGCATGGTTTGCGTTGGGGCCGACCGGTCAGGTATTCCCAGAGGCCTACCACGAAGTGGTCTTAGAACAATAAGCGTTCTGAACAAAAGCTGTCTTACTAGAAAATAGCACAGAGATCTTCACGCAATAAAGCTCAGCCATAATCGTTCTGATTCACTGACACGGGCATATAATACTCACCTCTAGAAGGACACTTCTTGGTGGGCCTAACAAGGCAAACCTGGGCGCTTGCTCAATGCTTGCACAATAGGGTTTGCGCTTGAGCCAAGATGAACGACAAAGAGCTAACCGATGACGAACGAATCGACGAGTGACAAAGACACCTGCAGCAAAACGATCGGTACTGAAAACTGTCATCGGGAGTCCTGCGAGCCAATCGGTAACTCATCCTTCCGGACCCGATCGCTGACTCGGCAAAACCCTCGACTCACTGATGTCGCACATTTTCTTTCGCCGCCTTGCACTGGCGGACCTGCCGCCATTTTACTTCCGTCGGAAGGGACGCGCCGAAGGCGAGGCAATTCCTGGAACGCGCCATATCACGAAACAGGAGCTCTTTGCAATGAGACTCGGCGGAGGTGGGGTACTGAGGTGGTGTTGCGCTGGTACGGCTGGAGACTGGAATGGGCCTGATGTTGCTTGCTCACGTAGTTGTCCAAACTATTACGCGAATACTGCAAGTTCGTGTCGTGACGACTTGTGCGTCTCTTTCTGTCACCGCGTGGATCGTTCAACCTTGAACGGCAACGGCTTTCCGTAACGCAAGATTGCTGGATGTCGGCAAGTCACGGGCCACCGGCGGAATTTACCTTGAACACCAACGCTCGGGTCGCCGCAACGCCGACACGACACGAATCTACCGTACCGTTCCGTGGGCTTGTCCGCATAATACCGCGACAACTTTCTCGAGTAGAAACTGGCGCATGAAAACCTACGTTCATACAGACAACGATACCGATAGTGACGGAAACGACGACGAGCGATGAAGGCGACACACTGCGACGACCCCTGTGACGGTGATGATGTTTTACGATGGTAAAAACGCTCGTGAAGATGGAGGGGCTTGCGACGGGAATTGGTCCTGGCAGGACGCTGCCCGCAGTCATGGCGGTAGCGGGGCCGCAGAGGGAGTATCACTCGAACAGCAGATCCCCCAAACAGTGCTCGCTTTGAGGGGCTCTTACTCGGGTTACCACATAAGGAATCCGATGGGTGTGCGGGGGGTTCGGCTGGTGCCCAGTTGGTGCCGCCTCGTTGCCGCCCCGGACGCTGGGTGGGTGGGTGGGAGCTTCTGCTGGCGCCCCACTGGTGCCGACTTGTTGCCGCCTCGTTGCCACCTCGTGCGCTTGGTGGGTGTGGCCGGGATTCGGCTCCTGCCAGTTGGTGCCGCCTTATTACCGCCTCGTGAGCTGGATGGGTGTGTCGGGGTTTCTGCTGGTGCCGCGTTGGTACCGCCTCGTTGTCGCCTCGTTGCCGCCTGGTGCGCCAAGTGGGTGCGCCGAGGATGCGCCACGTTGCCGCCCGAGTTACATCGTTGCCGCCTCGTTGCCACCCCGTGCTCTGAGCTTACACGGCATAACTTTCACCATTTTCCTAATATCACATACCTTGAACCACGTAGCTTGCACCGCAGATGCTGCACAGCATAGCTCACATCAAATTGCTTACCCTCCGTGAGTTGCACCTCTAGTCACACCACCTGGCTTAAACGACATATCTTCAACCACATACAGTCGGTGGTGCTAAGTCGTCCCCGCCCGTTCCCGGTGGACGTTCCATGTGCCGGCACTGTGATTGCTGACAAAATGCGAAGTCGTCCCCGCTTTCCCCAATGGCCGTTCTGTGTGCCGGCACGCGGAGAAAAATTCCAGAACTACCAACATGTCGCAAATGTGTGAAATTGCGAATGTCTCACGGATGGCGGCTTCAAGGGGAATGGAGGATGGGCACAGTGGGCAAGGCAAGGACGGGAGGGAAAACAAGGAGAGGGGAGGAAGCTTACACCGCATGGGTATTGCACACCATGTTGTGGATGGGAGGGTGAGATGATCGCGCAAACAATGGAGTTGACAACCCACTTGTGAGTAGCAATTAATGGCACAACGTTTTACTTTATGTGTGTATCGTCCACCTCATTAGTTGCATGATTTGGATTGCACCACCTGTATTGCACTACATAGCTTTCTCCGCATATCGTGCAATCCATATAGGCGGAGGTATGTTATGCTAGAAGCACACTGTTCGTGGTCCACGATAGCAAACATATAATAGTTAGATACATGGATCTTGAGACCTACACCTACCATGCATGTTCACCTCTATACAAAGAAATCCGCCGGCCCCCTTGCGGGACCACCAGGCTGCGAGGATTAGGTTTCAGTGCCCTGCGCCAGTTCCAGTTTCAATGTTACAATTTTGCTTTCTGCTTCTTACTGTAACTTGTTACTGTCCGCGCGAGGGGGGTTAGCCGGCAAGGGCCCTGGTCAGCGTCCCCGAATCGCGTTATCTGAATTTCTGGGGGGCCGTGGGACACGTAAAAATACATAAGGCTCGCGCTCCCGACGCAATAATCCCTTGCAGATTACCCTGTACTCGCGCCCCCGAGGACAATATCCCTCGCACATTACATTGCATTCGCGTCCCCGAAACCACGACCCATTACAAAATGCACCATCTTCACGCTCCTGAGGCCACGATCCCCCGTAAATTACACCGCACTCTCGCCTCTGGGGCCACGATCACTTTTAAAATACGCCACAGTCGCGCCTCCGAGGCTACGATTTATACCACATTCGCGCTCCCGAGGCCACGACCCCGCGTAAATTACGCCACGTTCGCGCCCCCGCAGCCACGATCCTTCGTAAATCGCGCCGCATTCGCGCCGAGGCCACGATCTCCCATGAGAGGTCCCAAGAGGCGCCCAAGACGCGCCTAAGAGGCCTCCAAGAAGCCCAAATGATACCCCACGAGGCCCCAAGTGGCCCCCAAGGTGCGCCCAAACTGTCTCCAAGAGGCCCCCGAGAGGCTCCCCACGACACCCCAACACATGTACAAGAGGCCTCAGACCCACAATCCAGGCACGGTGGCGGGCTGGGCCGAAGGCCACTAGGATCCGCCGCTTCCTGTCGATTCATCGCAGGGGTGCCTGGCGTGCTGGACCCTTTCGGTTTTGGTTTTGGTTCTTTTTCCAAAAGAACTCCACCTGGCGCTTCGGCCCGTCCCGCCGGGGTCCTGGGAGGATTGCCCAGGACCCCAACGTCCACAACAAATCCTCCAAGACGGCTCAAGATGGCGTCCAAGATGGCCAAGATGGCCTCCAAGATGATTCTAGACGGCCCAAGAGCGTCCAAGATACCTCCAAGTTCGCCAAAGATGCCTCCAAGACGGCCCAAGACGGCCTCAGAGGCCCTCAAGAGGTCTTCCAGGAGGGCTCGAAGAGGCCAAAATCGCTGATTTGCCTTATTGTTTTGAAAGATTTGGGCGTTCGCTTCTTCTCGGCATTGCGACGGCTCAAGACGGCCCAAGAGGACCCCAAGATCGCCTCAAGATCGCCCACGAGGCCTCCAAGATGGCCCCATGACGGCCCCAGAGACCCCGGCCCCAAGAGAGCTCGAAGAGGCCTCCACGACGGCTAAGATGGCCCCAATATGCCCTAAGACGGCCCAATATGCACCCACGACGGCCTAAGACGGCCTCAATATGGCCCAAGACGGCCCCAGAGGTCCCCAAGAGGCTCTCGAGACGGCCCAAGAGGCCTCTAGGAGGTCCTCCAGGAGGGCCCGCAGAGGCCAAAATCATTGATACTCGTGAGGTGTTTGAATGATTTTGGCATTTGCTTATTTTCTGCATTCCGACGGGTTTCAGACGGCCCAAGAGGACCCCAAGATCGCCTCAAGATCGCACACGCGGCCTCCAAGATGGCCC